AAGTTAGTGGGAGGCGCGGTGGCCTCATGGTGAGTGCGCTCGACTCTGGAGCGAGCGGTCCGATTCCTCTCCCCACTCAGTTGTATAAATGGCGAATTTAATGCTGGGGGGTAACCCTGCGGTGGACAAGAATCCCATCCAAGGGGGAATAGAAACACTCCTAGTCGCTTCATACCACTGAAACCAAGGTAAGCTTCGGCCTGATGAGCCACTTGGCTCGTATGTAGACTTGACCTTCTTTTATTCAGAAGTTAGGAACTGGGGTGACAGGCTAAGCAGATGATTAGTAGCAATGTCCAACATTGTAAGGGAAAGCCTTAGAAACCGTCCGTATGTCTTCTTCAGATATTTGTTTATTTAGTTATGTTCCTTATAAAACAGATCCAGTTTATAGCCACATAGTAAAGAGAGCGTTTTATTTCTTATCCTTAGCTTATTATTTGACCGCGACTCAGGGCATAAGATCTTCTTGGAAGATGTATTTGAAAACGAGGCGAGGATGATTCCTGGTGGGAACTGGGGCCAAGCATCCGCGCCATAGACAAATGTGGTAAAGAATTTGTTTTCATAAGCCAGCAACAGGCTGCTTTTCACCTGTATTGTAGAACCGATCTACTTTCCATCAGTCTGCTAAGGATGTTGCGTTTGAAGGTCGCCTCACTGAAGCGGAACTGTAGCAGCTGTTATATGTTTTGGAGCTAGGGCGGGCATTGTTTGTTCTATTGTTCTCTTAAAGGTGATCGAGCCATTCATGTGAGAACTTAGCAGTTCCACGAACGATCCACGGACAAATATCCTTCTCTATTTTCGCTGCGCGCCAAGAGGAGTTAGTTGTTTATATGTCTTTACATGCAAAATTGAATTAATCTTCTTTTTATATCTACACGTTTACAGCATGGTGACAAGACCGATGAAAAAGACAAGATTAAATGTCCAGAAGGCTGGGAGTGGACTAGTAACTGGGAAGTCGACGACAACAGAGCTGTGGACGACGAAGGTAAAACTCTACTTATACGCAATAGTTTGACTCGAACGAAATAGATTAAACGTAAATTGATAGTGATGAAGTAAAACTGTACATAATGTGGTCTTGATTCAAGCAGAACGTAGTTTCTTACCATCCGTAGTGGTACATGTCCGTAACTTAAAGGCGCATCTTGAAGAATGTTGAGTTTTGTGATGTCTTCTTAATCCAATTATGAATTGTTGCTTTTAGGGTGAAACAGCCACAGTTATTGTTCATTTAGCAATCTACACCCTCCATGCATTGCATTTAAGGACTTGCATCACGGGTACGTTTCTTTGGGATGATCAGGATAAGGAATAATGATATGAGATTACTTGGTAAAGAAAGGGCCGGAGAGAACGATGAATCTAGTCTGGGCAAGGTTCCTTTGATGTACCATGCCAGTGTCCATGGAATCCGGAGCATCCCAAAGAAAATGCACCATTTTAAGTAATAATTGAAGTAAAATGTTTGCTCGGATGTTGTGACATCCTAAATTCAAGGTCACTTTACGTGACAGCACACATGTAGTGTACGAGTTAGCGCATGGGACTGTTTGTTTCAGGTTGGGAGTACGCAGTCGATGCATCTTACGGAGTGTATGGAGCAATACAAAAGGCTTACCATTTGGTGAGAAGAAAACGTTGGGTCAGAAAGAGACTCCTGAAGGATTCGAAGGCTGTTGTAAAACAGGTAATAACAAGAAGTGCTCTTAAAATAATTTCTTGTTCGCGCTCTGAAGGGACCTTTCCTTCCGTCATTACATTTTGCAATGATGATTTATTGAAATAGCTATAGCTTTACAATAAATTTTGTAAGTCGTGTTCTCCTTCAGAAGGAGTGAATTCAAAACAATAATGAAAACACGAGATCAAAGGTAAATTTAAAGCAGCAATTAACCCAGGTAACTTTTAAATACTATAATGTGACAAGATAAGGTGGAGTAACTTCTGAAAAAGTCAAAAAACAACAACAAACATGAGATGAAATGACTATTGCATGTTCCTTACGACTACATGCTTCTCTCAACAATTTAAGCGTAAGTAGACAAAGTATTCTTTTTATTTTCCTTTTTCCAGAAAGAACTTGAAGAGTTTGCGAAAGAAGGGTGGGAATACGCCCCGATTTTCACGGCCAAATATCACCACAAGGAAAGAAAGATCGATTTTGTCAGGCGACGACGTTGGCACCGAAAAATGGTTGCAAAAGGAGGACAAGACGTCAAAGTGTCCATGCCTCCCGTGTGTCTTCTAGAAATTGACGGCGAGGTTAGAGTCTTGTAGATAGCCAACCTTAATTTATTTAGCAATGGAAGAAATGACATGAATGATAAGGGTGAAAAACTGGAAAATGTATAAATTTCGTGCTATTGTTCTTGCTTGGGCTCTTGAAGGCCTAGAAAAAGAAGAAGGTCAAATATCGGTGTTCAGTAGAGCAATAGAAAACCAGAAAATTGGACGAAGTTTATTTTCATCGTATAGATAATTATTGTTGGAAGCAATTCCAATGTTAACCTTATTTCGTCTTTATTGGTTATAGCAATATATATATATATGGCAAGATATAAGCTGCTCTTAAGACACCCAACCAAAGGAAAACTAATTTTTCTTTAAGGTGCACGTGTTTTACATTTGCTTTGTCGTTCGTCTCCATTCGATAGCCAGCCAAATCAAGAGAAACCTACCAGACTTGTCTTGTTTCTTTTAATGTGATTGCTTCTATAGCAATCCTGGGTTCTTAATTATATGATATCCTGAAGAAGTCTCACTTCGCAGCGTATGCGTTTTTTTTTTTTCCTTTTAATTAACAGGAAGACAGTAAAAACTGTTTGACGAATATTCCAAGATTGTTTGTCACCTATCACAGTGAGTAAAATGTTCATTTGGAAACGTTCTGTAAGCAGTTGTGATTCTGCCTATAAACAGACAAAACTCACTTGGCATGCAATTTTATGTTCAAAGTTCAAAATTTTATGTTCATCGTTCTCTGTCTGAAAAATTTAGGTTAAAATAAGCTTTCGGCTGCCAATCTAGAGCCATTGTCGAATGATCAAAAAGACGCGAAATGTTGGTTTATGTGGGTGAAAATAAATAGGAATGTTATAAGAACCTGTGCAAATTAAAAAGCTTGAAAGTTTAGGAAAGCTGACTGGATAACATTGCTTTTTTATGATCATTATATGAAACAAAACATAAAAATGTAAATGATATTTTTTACAGAGCCTCACAAGTATCAGTTGTGGGCCTACATTTATCAAGCACGTGATTTGCTTGCGATGGACGAAAGTGGAATGAATGGTAAAAATGCATTACGTTCCTGAAACATTTTCATCACGATGCCTGTTATTTACTAATGATGTTATATAGTTTGACAGCTTCAATAATAACACACTATTATTGAATGTATGTGCTTTCCCCCGTTAGATGCCTATGCCCGTGTTGCATTTTGCAAGCAAAGTGCTGTGACAGCAGTGCTGACTCAGACTCTGTGTCCCACCTGGGATCAGACTCTGATTTTCGACGAAATTGAAATTTACGAAGGTGTCGTGAACGTGGCAAAGAACCCGCCAAGTGTGGTGGTAGAGTTGTTTGATCGAGACTCTGTGGTAAGATTTGTGGTTTCTTTTACATTTTTAGTCTCTTAAGTTCCACAGTCCACAATATATGATAAAAAGTCTTGCATGTTGTAAGATTGTTTGCTTATTTCCCAAGAATAAGGACTAGTTAGTAGGTTTCAATTAATTCTAAAGAAAAAAAAAAAAAAGAGAATAATTAATGAAGGTTTAGGGGGGACTCGTAATTAAAATTTCAGAAGTTTTAACTTGTGCCAAGAAGAGTCTTTAAAAAACATTTTATGGGTTCCTTCCTAAAAAGCTATAGACAATACAAAAATAGATTGCTATAACCCCGACGCAATCCTACCGATTTTGGTAGTTTAGATACATTTTTTCCCCTATTTTGTTAACTCCCATAATTCAATGTAACTCTTATCCCGTTTAATGAGACTTAATGAGTAAGTCTCCCTTATTATTATCTAACTGCAGTGAATACCGTCCAAATAACAGTACAAATATACAGCGATATTGTACAGTTATTTGTATCAGTAGAAAACCTGCTTGCCATACAGGTCGGCGCCCGCCCGCAAAACTGTCACACTCTCCCCCTTTCACTGTTAAATTTATTAACTACAGTAGTTGGATAATAAATCTCTTATTAGATGTTTTGGTGTGTAGTATCGCTTTATATTTTTAATCGTTGTTTGTATTTTGACTCGCCCTACGGGCTCGTCAAAATACGGCACAACTCGTAAAAATATACAGTGATGCTACAAACCAAACCNTCGCCCCCTTCCTCTTCTCCTTTTCTGATCTTGTGCCACTGCAGTCGGGGTTCAGGAGTCTGGTGTCCTTCTAGCCTTACCATGGGCGATATCACGCAGCGATCAAGAAATCCGTCTTTACCCTGTTATAAAATGACACATCTGATTGCTTTCCCTCAACATATACTACAAGACACATAAACTACCTCTTTAGATTCGATTATTTTCCCTGTCTGAGTCAAAACGAATTGTTTTTTGTTTTTTTGTTTTTTTGTTTTTTTGCATTGTGATCAGCGAACCAAGCATATCATGTGGTTGAATTCTCCCAATCAATCATCGTATGTACGTGCAGTACCAATATATATATCTTATTAGATGGTTTGGTTTGTAGCATCACTGTATATTTTTACGAGTTGTGCCGTATTTTGACGAGCCCGTAGGGCGAGTCAAAATACAAACAACGATTAAAAATATAAAGCGATACTACACACCAAAACATCTAATAAGAGATTTATTATCCAACTACTGTAGTTAATAAATTTAACAGTGAAAGGGGGAGAGTGTGACAGTTTTGCGGGCGGGCGCCGACCTGTATGGCAAGCAGGTTTTCTACTGATACAAATAACTGTACAATATCGCTGTATATTTGTACTGTTATTTGGACGGTATTCACTGCAGTTAGATAATAATAAGGGAGACTTACTCATTAAGTCTCATTAAACGGGATAAGAGTTACATTGAATTATGGGAGTTAACAAAATAGGGGAAAAAATGTATCTAAACTACCAAAATCGGTAGGATTGCGTCGGGGTTATAGCAATCTATTTTTGTATTGTCTATAGCTTTTTAGGAAGGAACCCATAAAATGTTTTTTAAAGACTCTTCTTGGCACAAGTTAAAACTTCTGAAATTTTAATTACGAGTCCCCCCTAAACCTTCATTAATTATTCTCTTTTTTTTTTTTTTCTTTAGAATTAATTGAAACCTACTAACTAGTCCTTATTCTTGGGAAATAAGCAAACAATCTTACAACATGCAAGACTTTTTATCATATATTGTGGACTGTGGAACTTAAGAGACTAAAAATGTAAAAGAAACCACAAATCTTACCACAGAGTCTCGATCAAACAACTCTACCACCACACTTGGCGGGTTCTTTGCCACGTTCACGACACCTTCGTAAATTTCAATTTCGTCGAAAATCAGAGTCTGATCCCAGGTGGGACACAGAGTCTGAGTCAGCACTGCTGTCACAGCACTTTGCTTGCAAAATGCAACACGGGCATAGGCATCTAACGGGGGAAAGCACATACATTCAATAATAGTGTGTTATTATTGAAGCTGTCAAACTATATAACATCATTAGTAAATAACAGGCATCGTGATGAAAATGTTTCAGGAACGTAATGCATTTTTACCATTCATTCCACTTTCGTCCATCGCAAGCAAATCACGTGCTTGATAAATGTAGGCCCACAACTGATACTTGTGAGGCTCTGTAAAAAATATCATTTACATTTTTATGTTTTGTTTCATATAATGATCATAAAAAAGCAATGTTATCCAGTCAGCTTTCCTAAACTTTCAAGCTTTTTAATTTGCACAGGTTCTTATAACATTCCTATTTATTTTCACCCACATAAACCAACATTTCGCGTCTTTTTGATCATTCGACAATGGCTCTAGATTGGCAGCCGAAAGCTTATTTTAACCTAAATTTTTCAGACAGAGAACGATGAACATAAAATTTTGAACTTTGAACATAAAATTGCATGCCAAGTGAGTTTTGTCTGTTTATAGGCAGAATCACAACTGCTTACAGAACGTTTCCAAATGAACATTTTACTCACTGTGATAGGTGACAAACAATCTTGGAATATTCGTCAAACAGTTTTTACTGTCTTCCTGTTAATTAAAAGGAAAAAAAAAAAACGCATACGCTGCGAAGTGAGACTTCTTCAGGATATCATATAATTAAGAACCCAGGATTGCTATAGAAGCAATCACATTAAAAGAAACAAGACAAGTCTGGTAGGTTTCTCTTGATTTGGCTGGCTATCGAATGGAGACGAACGACAAAGCAAATGTAAAACACGTGCACCTTAAAGAAAAATTAGTTTTCCTTTGGTTGGGTGTCTTAAGAGCAGCTTATATCTTGCCATATATATATATATTGCTATAACCAATAAAGACGAAATAAGGTTAACATTGGAATTGCTTCCAACAATAATTATCTATACGATGAAAATAAACTTCGTCCAATTTTCTGGTTTTCTATTGCTCTACTGAACACCGATATTTGACCTTCTTCTTTTTCTAGGCCTTCAAGAGCCCAAGCAAGAACAATAGCACGAAATTTATACATTTTCCAGTTTTTCACCCTTATCATTCATGTCATTTCTTCCATTGCTAAATAAATTAAGGTTGGCTATCTACAAGACTCTAACCTCGCCGTCAATTTCTAGAAGACACACGGGAGGCATGGACACTTTGACGTCTTGTCCTCCTTTTGCAACCATTTTTCGGTGCCAACGTCGTCGCCTGACAAAATCGATCTTTCTTTCCTTGTGGTGATATTTGGCCGTGAAAATCGGGGCGTATTCCCACCCTTCTTTCGCAAACTCTTCAAGTTCTTTCTGGAAAAAGGAAAATAAAAAGAATACTTTGTCTACTTACGCTTAAATTGTTGAGAGAAGCATGTAGTCGTAAGGAACATGCAATAGTCATTTCATCTCATGTTTGTTGTTGTTTTTTGACTTTTTCAGAAGTTACTCCACCTTATCTTGTCACATTATAGTATTTAAAAGTTACCTGGGTTAATTGCTGCTTTAAATTTACCTTTGATCTCGTGTTTTCATTATTGTTTTGAATTCACTCCTTCTGAAGGAGAACACGACTTACAAAATTTATTGTAAAGCTATAGCTATTTCAATAAATCATCATTGCAAAATGTAATGACGGAAGGAAAGGTCCCTTCAGAGCGCGAACAAGAAATTATTTTAAGAGCACTTCTTGTTATTACCTGTTTTACAACAGCCTTCGAATCCTTCAGGAGTCTCTTTCTGACCCAACGTTTTCTTCTCACCAAATGGTAAGCCTTTTGTATTGCTCCATACACTCCGTAAGATGCATCGACTGCGTACTCCCAACCTGAAACAAACAGTCCCATGCGCTAACTCGTACACTACATGTGTGCTGTCACGTAAAGTGACCTTGAATTTAGGATGTCACAACATCCGAGCAAACATTTTACTTCAATTATTACTTAAAATGGTGCATTTTCTTTGGGATGCTCCGGATTCCATGGACACTGGCATGGTACATCAAAGGAACCTTGCCCAGACTAGATTCATCGTTCTCTCCGGCCCTTTCTTTACCAAGTAATCTCATATCATTATTCCTTATCCTGATCATCCCAAAGAAACGTACCCGTGATGCAAGTCCTTAAATGCAATGCATGGAGGGTGTAGATTGCTAAATGAACAATAACTGTGGCTGTTTCACCCTAAAAGCAACAATTCATAATTGGATTAAGAAGACATCACAAAACTCAACATTCTTCAAGATGCGCCTTTAAGTTACGGACATGTACCACTACGGATGGTAAGAAACTACGTTCTGCTTGAATCAAGACCACATTATGTACAGTTTTACTTCATCACTATCAATTTACGTTTAATCTATTTCGTTCGAGTCAAACTATTGCGTATAAGTAGAGTTTTACCTTCGTCGTCCACAGCTCTGTTGTCGTCGACTTCCCAGTTACTAGTCCACTCCCAGCCTTCTGGACATTTAATCTTGTCTTTTTCATCGGTCTTGTCACCATGCTGTAAACGTGTAGATATAAAAAGAAGATTAATTCAATTTTGCATGTAAAGACATATAAACAACTAACTCCTCTTGGCGCGCAGCGAAAATAGAGAAGGATATTTGTCCGTGGATCGTTCGTGGAACTGCTAAGTTCTCACATGAATGGCTCGATCACCTTTAAGAGAACAATAGAACAAACAATGCCCGCCCTAGCTCCAAAACATATAACAGCTGCTACAGTTCCGCTTCAGTGAGGCGACCTTCAAACGCAACATCCTTAGCAGACTGATGAAAAGTAGATCAGTTCTACAATACAGGTGAAAAGCAGCCTGTTGCTGGCTTATGAAAACAAATTCTTTACCACATTTGTCCATGGCGCGGATGCTTGGCCCCAGTTCCCACCAGGAATCATCCTCGCCTCGTTTTCAAATACATCTTCCAAGAAGGTCTTATGCCCTGAGTCGCGGTCAAATAATAAGCTAAGGATAAGAAATAAAACGCTCTCTTTACTATGTGGCTATAAACTGGATCTATTTTATAAGGAACATAACTAAATAAACAAATATCTGAAGAAGACATGCGGACGGTTTCTAAGGCTTTCCCTTACAATGTTGGACATTGCTACTAATCATCTGCTTAGCCTGTCACCC